GGAAAGGTTCCGTGATATCAACTCAATATTTAGGGGGACGAGGTATGCAGGGAAGGGAGCGCCTCTTAGGCAGTGTTAAAGGAACGCATCAGCTTAGCCGTATCGCTGCAATTCCTCTCGCCAGTAACCATTTTGTATCCGTTCTGAGTGTGCATTTATTGCCGTAGAAACCCCACCACCTTGCTCTATTTTTGTTTGCTAGAGAAAAAGGGGCGAGAAGAGATAGTACTCGTTCAGTCCAGTGGAATATAGAGAAGCCACTCTCCTCGTTTGACTGACCCGGCTTTGATCGTGCAGCAGAGTGCAAACACTCTTTGTTTTAATAAATAATAGCACGGAAACCTAAACAGGGAATTTAGTCCAAGCTGGGCAGTCTTCCGAGCGATCGCTTAGCCACTCGACGAGTTGGCTGCGGTATGCTGACGTCAGAGCCTGCCTGAATGGGAGTGGTTCGAGTTCCATGAGCAGTGAGTTCAGATGTAAGCCAGGTCGATTTCACACTTCTTAATTTCTTTCTAAGTAATGCAAGTAGATGCACGTATAAGTAAACGTGGTTGCATAGTTTACCGCATAGTTACACACACACACTCACACACTAAGTTGTAAGACAACATGCATCTATGGTGTAAAAGTTACATAATTGGACCAAAAAGATACGTAGAACACCACGCCCTTTTTCACGATACTCCTTCGCTGCCTCCCCCGCCCCCTCTCTCTGCCCTCCTTTCCCTCTCTTCTCTCGCCCACTCCTTCTCCGCTATCTCCCCTCGTCCACTCCCCCCCCCCTTTCTCTGTGATCATCCCGGTCATTATCGTGGCTCAGAGGATAGAGGACTCCCGCATGAAGCCGCAGGACAGGGCACGAGGGTTAGACACACACACACACACACACACACACACACACACACACACACACACACACACACACACACACACACACACACACACACACACACACATATATTTGTATGTATATATAAATATGTGTGTGTATGTGTGTGTGTATGTATGTATATGTATATATATAAATACAATATACAAAGAGAGAAAGAAAGAGAGAGAGAAAAAAAAGAAAGAAAGAGAGAAAAAGAAAGAGAGAGAAAAAAGAAAGAGAGAGAAAAAGAAAGAGAGAGAGAGAGAAAGAAAGATAGAGAGAGAGAAAAAAAGAGAGAAAGAGAGAGAAAGAAAGAAAGAGAGAGAGAGAGCGAGAAAGAGAGAGAAAAGAGAGAGAGAGCGCGAGAGAGAAAAAGAGAGAGAGAAAGAGAAGAGAGAAAGAGAAAAGAGAGAGAGAGAGAAAAGAGAGAGAGAGGGGGGGAGGGAGGGGGGGGAAAGAGAGAGAGAAAGATAAAGAGAGAGAGAGAGAAAAAAAGAGAAAAGAGAGAGAGAAAGAGAAAAGAGAGAGAGAGGGGGGGGGGGGGGAGGGAGAGAGAGAGAGTGAAGAACAAGAGCAAATAAAGCGAGAGGAGAAGTGATACCAAGATTGAAAGGCGCACACGACGCTAATCTAGGTTTAAGCGGTGAAAAAAGAGCAATCGTTCGCTCAAAGTACAGTCATCTGATATCTTTCCTTTGGGGTCAAATTAGTTGTTTTTTCGTCGTTTGTTAGTGTGTGTGGAGTGGAGGGGGGTTGGGAGTGTGTCTGTCACTTGATTGTTTCTGTGACTGTCTGTTCCTGAGTGTGTGTGAATGTGTGTATCACACACACACACAAATATATATATATATACACATATATATACACACATACATACACACATATATATATATATATATATATATATATATATATATATATATATATATATATACATACATACATACATACATATACATATACACACACACACAACCGCACGCGCACCAGTCAGCACATTCCACGACTACTATAACATTCAGTCATTCACCAGGATGGACTCGTAACCTTGGAAAGTCCACAGGAATTGATACGTAATGCTATGACATGCCCTGAGGTTTCTTTTGTCGCTCATGGCAAAAAGTAACATGTGCACCCTGTACTGTTCATACTGTTCGTTAATATTGTTACACGTATAATAATCTTGCTAATGATAATGACAGCATGATGAAATCTATACTGAAAGGTGTTGGTGTCGCAGGTCCAAAGGCTCATGAATGAATACCTAATCGGCTGGTTGTCCTTCTGTTTTCGACGACGCGTCAAGGTTATTTGTCTAGTTAGTGTTATTGATTATCGTTTGTATCAATAACGTTATTAACACTTATCATTCTATTCTTCTCCGAGAGCATACGATGTCTGCTCTGTGACAGCTAACCTCACGTGTATATGAGAAACCTTTTGCCGTAATCCGCACCCTGCTCAGCCGGCCACCCACAACCAGGTAGCAGAAGTTCCCTTTACCTGGCGCATGTGGTCAACAAGATATATCCTGTGGTACGCGGTCGGGGCTCTTGGGCTCCCTCGTATCGGCCGGGAAGGTGGCGGCCGCGGCTGGAGGGATTCGTGAAATCTCGCCTCTTGACA